AATTCCAATTGAAAATAGTTTCATTAGAAAGAGCAAATTGGATTACGTATTCTATTGAAAAAACCTTACTGATGCAGATGTATTAACTATATCTTCACAAAACTGCACAATCATGTTTATAACAATATGATCTAACCGCGCTGGTATTGGCCATTTATCAGTTGAAAAGCTTTTCAATATCTAAAGCGTTCTGATAGATTATAATAGAGCAAAAAAAATCTTGAATCGAATGAATCTATTTTTAACAAATCTGAGTTGAATTTTCATTGACCTTCAGATGAAAAACTGTATTTTAGGGGTTTCTCAAAGTGCTTGAGATGATCTTTCTTATTATGTGACTAATTTTAAAAAACGTTATATTTGCAATCAGGATACTCAGCTCTATCAGATTGCATGAACTTCTAATTGAACGACGACAAAAACGTTTTGTCGATCCCTAAGGGGGATTCAGGCATGAAAAAATGAGTTGTGAGAAAATGCAAAATAAACTTGCGAATAATAATCAGGGACGAACGCTGATTGTCAGAGTGTGGATGTTGATCTTTATTCACTCTAGATCCTGCCACACCCACACAAACGAACTAGTTAATGCGCTTTGTTGCTTTTGAAATCAAACTTGAGCCAATCGATAGAGCTCATCAAATAAATAAACACTTAAGCATGATTGATAATACATTGAATTTTTCTCACATATTCTAATCATATTGAATTCATGATTGGCGTTTATTGAATTAAAATTTTCCCTGTATTTCAATACTTGCAATAAACAAGCTTGAATTGAACTGGCATTTATTTTGTGAGTAGTTCGTGTAGCGATGACTCAAATATAAAGGTATGAGCCCAATTTTTAACTTCTATGACTGTAAGTAGATGTCAAGTTAATACAGTCTCACATATAATCTTTTGCTTCTTGAATTAGTAAAAGACATATAAAAAAATTTCCAACTGCTCAAAACAGTGTGATTTTCTCATTCATGATATCTTTTACCTAAATTCATTTAAATTTCAGTGTTATCCTCTACTAACATGACGAATAGTATATCCATCGATCCTGCCAATCTCGCCGCTTATGGACAACAAATTGGTCAAACTTTCTCATTTGTAATCACAGGTGGTGTTAACGGATCTATTTATGGTACAAATATTTATACACTTGATTCCAATCTGGCGACAGCAGCAGTTCATGCAGGTTTTCTATGTATAAGTGAAACCAAAAATGTCACGATTAAAATTCTTCCTGGTCAAGAATCATATACTGCGTCAACACAGAATGGCGTAACGTCTTCCTCCTATGGCTCATGGAAGGGAAGCTACTCATTTGTTGTTGCTATGTCTACATCGAGTGTCACTCCTTCTAATCTCGCTGATTATAGTGACAAAGTTGATGAAACATTCTCATTCGAAATCACAGGTGGTGTTAACGGGTCTATTTATGGTACAAATATTTATACACTCGATTCCAATCTGGCGACAGCAGCGGTTCATGCAGGATTACTACGTATAGGTGAAACCAAAAATATCACGATTAAAATTCTTCCTGGTCAAGAATCATATACTGCGTCAACACAGAATGGCGTAACGTCTTCCTCCTATGGCTCATGGAAGGGAAGCTACTCATTTGTTGTTGCTATGTCTCCATCGAATGTCGGTCCTTCTAATGTCGCTGATTATAGTGACAAACTTGCTCAAACTTTCTCATTCGTAATCACAGGTAATGTTAACGGATCTATCTATGGTACAAATATTTATACACTCGATTCCAATCTGGCGACAGCAGCAGTTCATGCAGGTTTTCTACGTATAGGTGAAACCAAAAATATCACAATTAAAATTCTTCCTGGTCAAGAATCATATACTGCGTCAACGCAGAATGGAGTAACGTCTTCCTCCTATGGCTCATGGAAGGGAAGTTACTCATTTATTAGTGCTGGTGGATTATGAATACTGTTATGTCGTGTTTTGGAAAACTAACAATAAACATAAATTACTGCATGACTAAGAAGTGTGACATGATGCAAATAATATTTTATATTTAATTAACTAATTCGTCTGCAACATTGTATAATTACATGGATGAAGATAGCACAAAAGTTGAAAGAATAAAAACCGACAGATGTGTGAACGGTGATTTGTGAATGATGCTTTGTTCGAGTCGTTTCCTATTAAAAAAGTCATCATTTTCCAGTTGAGATTTAGATACTCTTTAGGATATTTCTCGTTTTAGCGTGACCCTTGAAAGGATCTTTATTTTGGGTGAGAGTGAGAGATGAAGAATGAGAGCAACTACCATAAACTTGATTTCACTTCAGCTACGAAGATCATCAGATCGCAAACAATCTATATCATAAAATACCACCAGATTCAATTCATACTGTTAAGCTCGTATATTTTATGCGAGTGTCTTTGTTATCATATAAATCGATGAGTCGATATTCATTCATGTATCGACTGTTTTCAAATAACGTCATTGATATTCGCTTGATTTTTCAATGCATGCAACGGTCAAATGTCCTACTTTTCATTTTTGATGCTCTTTCTTTGTCAGAATTCTAATTGGATAATTTACGAGCTCAATGCCAGATATCTATTTTTGCAATTAAGTAAAAGAATTTCTGCGAGAGTTATGCCTACACAAATGTTTAAAGAATCGTTATCTACATGCTTCCGATTTCTCTTCTAGATCGTATGCTGTAGATCTCGACTCGGTATTGAAATGCTACCAACGGACAGTGTTCACTTTCATTATCGTTTTTTCTCGAGTGATTCCAAGCAAAAGAAGTTCCGACACGACAGAAGGTCCATATTTCTTCGAAATTAAGTGAAAAATAAAAATAAATTGTAGAAACTGCTAAGTTCTAGAGTGCAATTTCCTAAATTAAAATTCACTATATATGTTCTGCTTGCCAATATTTCACAAAAATGCTTGAAAAACACAAAATAATCATCATAACAATCAAAAATAGTAGTGATTCCGAAAGCACAAAATCTAAGGTATTCATCCATGTAGAAAAGTCAAATTCAACGGTTTTTGACTGAGTGTTAGGTCTTAAACTTTCTAGTGCTGCAAGGTTAGAGGGACACATATTCAAGCGGATTATGCCATTTGACTGTTGGTGGAAACGCATGAATTGAAAATAAATGTAATGGTAAGAGAAAATCGATGATTTTATTTTACAGTGCCGTATCGTTTCAATTTGACAATATTGCCTCGAGGGTGTGGGTGTGGGTATGGGTGTGGGTGTGGGGTGTGGGTGTGGGTGTGGGTGTGGGTGTGGGTGTGGGTGTGGGTGTGGGGGTGGGTGGGTGTGTGTGGGGGCGTGGGGGTGCGGGGGGGTGCACGCTCCTCGGCATCGACTCCCAGCGCCA